TTGTGGAGGAAGGGAAGCTTTTCATCAAGAAAATCGTCCATTGAGGAATTCAACCTTGTTTTCTTTATGGCAGAGCGCATGGCCTGTTTTGAAACCAAGGCAGCAAAGTTTTTGCTGAATTTTCAGGTACATTTTGCGCTCTATGGCCAAGGAAATTACGTTTTTGAAAGGTAACTTATGTATTCTATATATCTTATACATTTTTCTCTTTGGTGCTAAAGAAAACTAATTACAAAAAGCGCCCTGATTTGAGATGGATGTTGTGTTGAATTTGCCATGCATTCGGCTGATTTTACTTGCGTGTCAGATCCACGATCTGATATGCAAATTGCTTTAAAGGATTATTTTGTTCAGTGTTGGATTTTCAATAAAAATTTTCAAGAAACGGCTTCTCCGTCTATTGTTTTGAGTTTGTTCATTCATAAAATTAGCTCAAAACATGATCGTGTTGCGACAGCATTTAAGCTAGCTGAATTTAAGCGCAATGCTTCTCACATTCATTACATGCAGCACTTTTGCAAAGATGTCAGGTTCAGTTTTTGGATACTTTTTGATACGCAGCGAGTGAATTTTATTCGAAAACATGTTTTACTGTTTCTAGATGTTTAATATGACAATTTTAAAAGCCTGTTTGCAGTATAGTAAGTTTTAATACTCCACAGAGGGTCACTGAGGAATTGTTTATTGAAGTGACAACTTGAAGAAGTCACGTGGTCATCAGTGGGTTTCATAATGTTGTGTTTGGTCTTAGTGGTAAGCCAATTTCCTGCTCAGTATTCCAGTAAGCTTCCTGGTTTCAACCTGTGAAAGCTTACTTGGTTTTGGGGAGTTTCCTCCATCTAAAATTGCATCACATCGTTTGCGAAGTTTGATTGGCTGGTTATCTTTTCTTGTTCCAAATATGGTACTTTTGAAAATGAATATTGACAAGCATCGGACAAAGCAAACATGTGAGAGTTACACGTTTCAACCCCTTATGAGTTTCTGGCTGTGGTTGAACGTTCCCATTCAAGTATTTGCTTGCTGCTTTGTGGTTTCAATATCCACAGTTTCAAGGATCTTTTCATTGTGGAAGCAAATACATGACGTCTTGTTCTGTTCACTTTTCAGAAGCAGTAAACTATTGATTCTAATTAACCAATTAGTCAACTTTTCGAATATTATTTTTGTTCTGTGATGCAGGTCCGCTAACAACGCTCTCATGAAACTGAAAACAACAACGACAAAAAGTAGCGTAAAGTAATGTCATTCAGCCAAGGTGACACACAATTTCAAGTGCTGGTATAATCTGAGTGACCCCAATGGACTCGTGTTGAAATTTTTTTTCTTTCTTCACCATTTTGTCACCTTGTGCATACACAGCATTTTACTTTTTTCCTATGTGTTCCACGCGTTTTCGGAATGCCTCAGCATATTTCAGCAACTACTTGGCTATAGTTTTTGCTCGTCACTCCTTCGTCATGGGCATTGCTATGGGACGGAAGGGAAATGACGAAATACCAAATCTTTTGGGATTCCAAGACATGAATTGTCTTGCAACAATGCAACATGATTAATAACTGATCGCTTTTTTTATTCCCAGCTTACCCCATTGTTATTGCTTGGTGTTAATCGAATCTACCTCCCTTAGAAGTTTAAATCCAAAAAGGATACAAGTCTATGAAAGCAAAAGCTATAATAAAAATGAACAATAATGACGAGGCCGTGCGGCCTCCTCAATTCTCATCAACTAGAAAGATTTTGCAGTTGATTTTGCAGTTTGGTGCTAAGGCAAATATAACCGTAACTTTCATGCTTATAGGAGTTTGACCAAATTAATCGATTGCAAAAAATATAAAAACAAACAATAACAACGAGGCTGTTCGGCCACCTCAATGAGGCTAATTGTCTTTAACTGAAAAGATTTTGCAAAGTGTGATGTTAAGAATAAGTTACCCTCAACTTGAATGTTTCAAAAGTTCGACCATATTAAACGATTGAAGAAGACTAAAATATTCCTGGTGATGTTTTAAAATGATAATTCTTAACTTCTTAAAACAAGAAAGACAACCTGTCTTACCAGGAGTAATACACATGTTCTTGTGACTGCAGAGAAATGGTTTTCAAATGGCCAATTTTGTCCTATGTACCCATGAATTTTAAAGCGGATGTGGATCCAAGATTAAAAACTTGACTGGTGCGATTTTAACACAAGAAACAACCTTTCTTGCCATGAATCATATTGTGCAAGAGCAAGATATAAAATGTTATTGTGACCACTTAAATTGGGTTCTCTGAAATCGAATTTGTTCCATGTAGCAAAAATTTAAATCTGGGGCGGATCCGAGAAGGTTTGATGAGGGGGTCTACTCTGTTCAGGATGCCCCCTTTTTTTCGAACCAGTGTTTGGCTTCTGCAGACTCTCCTTTCAACTTTTTGATCACAACATTTGCACCAAAATTGACCAAAAAACAAAACTAATTGTGCCTCTTCCCAGCTCTTCTTGAATTGTGATGTCACGCCAATCAAATTTTAAAAACGACGTTCCAAGTTTTGACCAATGTTTGTACCTTAAAAGAGGCTGCCATCTTGACCAAGGGCATCTAGGAACTTTGGCCTAAAACTTCGAACAAAAGGCCATTTTGGTAAGCTATTACTACTGCGTTGATTGGGCGAGGAGGTGACGTTGATGGTGCAATTTTCTGTTACTGATTGTTTACCATTTACGACAAATTCCGGGAAATTCCGGTTGTGATGTAAATTGTAAACGATTTTTTGATTCGTCCCACTAGAAAATTCCCGGGACAAACGGAAATCCTGAAAAGGTAGTCCCGTTTTCCCGATTAGGAGGTTCCGAATGGAAATTCATTTACCATTTGCAAGTTTCTTTAGTTTCGTACCAGTGTCATGTTATAACTGGAATTTAGTCTAGCGTGGGGCGACAATCCGGAAATTTTAGGCCAATGGTAAATAACACATACTGTTCTTACTGACCAAAAATTCCCAACCAAAATGTCAGGAATTTTTTATAAATGGTAAACAACCTGTCTCTCTCTCTCACGCTCATGATACTTCGCCGGCACTGGTCAAAAGACAACATCAATTTTGACAGGTTGAATGATTAATGAAACTGTCTACTTTATACGACATACTTTTGTTGTTGGCAACCAAAAGTGACCCTTTTAAGGTACTACCTACAGCTAAAATGTACCCAAAATGTGACCTTTTTGAAGTATTTCAGCTCTTTTTAATAATTCACGTGGATGCTATCTTATAGTTTTCATTATTGTAGAATTCGAATTTGAAGTGAAAATTATCGATTTCTTGCCAAAAAGGTGTGAAAATCGACACCTTAACATATCACTTAAAATTATATATTTTCAGTTTTCTCCGTTCCCCTTCTTCATTAACCGTCCCCTTTTGCCCTATTAAATAAACATAATAGTTGGATACACATATGCTTTACCCGCCACGTCATTGTAAATCCTAGCCAGAAAATTTCAATCATTGGAAATCAGCCACATGACATACAGTAAACCTGATGCAAAGTCACGATTTACGGCGGGTAAGAAGACGATAAAAGCCTCACTTGAGTTTGTTAACTCCACAAAATTTCAGTAGCAGAGGTTTAAAGGTAACGGAGAAATTGAGATATTTGCCAAACTACGCTAAAAACGCGATCAATTTTTGGTCGTTTTAGTATAGGTAATAGCATGATTTGTAGTGATATTTGGCATAAATACCACAAGTGATACTTCAAAATTGTTATATGTAATTTCACGAGCCGTCAGGCGAGTGAAATTTGAGACAATTTTGAAATATCACGAGTGGTATTTATGCCAAATATTATGTACAAATCATGCTATTATTTGTTTATACTACTACCTGCAAAAGGTTTGTAATTTTCACATGTAGGTATTTCAAATTAAGTTGAAATACCACTGCTCTAAGCCAATCAAATTGCAGAAATTTCTAATGTAGTAGTATAATTCGGAAAATTTTGTCTGCCATCTTGAATTCGCCTAACAGGAGTCGCATAGCTTTGTGGGACACTCGTTTCGTGGAGAAATAACGTATTTAGAGTGTTTTACATTCTAAACAAAGGCACACTCCTTAGCAACAGTGAAAACAATATAACGGCGAGCCACTCTGTCAGCGGTTGTAATGCGCATTTTCTCATAGCGCATAGCCACTCGTGTGTTCGTGAAACCACATTTCGAGAATCCTCACTTGCCTTCAACTTGTCTTTGTTCAGTTCCAATCGTTCAAAATTTTGCCTGTATCATAGTATATTGTAAATATTTCTCTTTCTTTTGTTTCTTGATTTCAAATTGTCATATTCATCTGTATGTACTTTTCTTTAAATAATTTTCTGTGAGAAGTCTGCGAAAGCAGAAAATGGCGTGCCGAGCGTGTGCTGAAGAAGCCCATGCAAGTGGGGGAGTTGGCTCAAGAGTCGCGATGGATTTTGAAAAACTGGAGACGGCTGGCTGGACTGTAGAACAGCGGGAGAAGTCTTTAGTGTTTTTTTCTCCATTTCCCGAGAAGAAAAGATTCAAGTCTTCCAAGGATGTTGCAGACTACTTGAAGAGTCGTGGAGAGTTCGTCTCCTTTATTCCATGCTACTGTGGAACTTCTGTGATGTCTCCAAGCCGTAGCAGTGAATCCCACGAAGAGTATCACCTGGATACGGAGGAAGAGGCTTCATTGAGCGTGATTGGCGATACTCCAGTAAAAAAAGACAGTTTAGGAAACTCATCTGATGCTCCATCGCCTAAGAGGTTAGCTTGGGAGTGTTTAGCTATAATATTCATTTGAGTTTTTATTCCCCGTGACACTAGATCTATCTCCAATAGTAGCTTTGCATTTACATCGTCCCTATGTTAACGTGTTATCCAGATAGCTTTATTGTTCGTAGAAGACATTCGTTTTGAAAAGTGTTCTTTTATTCATTTGCTTATAGATTGAAGCTGGATGCAGATGTCCATGCTGTTGAATTACCCCTGAAGTAGTTTGTTGGTATGACCAACCAGTTGGAAAGTCTTCTGGATCAGGTGAACAACATATGCCAATGCTCAACATCAGGTTGTAATGGTAAGTAATGTATTACAAACTCTCAAACTTAATTTTCTCCTTTCTGACAAATATTTATGCTGCATAGGCATGAAAAAACTTATATGTCATTGAACTGTTTTTGTTGTTGTTTTTATTCTTTATTACGTCCTTTATTTTGAGGCCCTACACTACTGTTTCTATTTCAGCATGTAATGCAGACCCTATAAATTTTTATTTTGATATAGGCTGTACACTTTGTGTCCTGCTGCTAAACAAATTTTTGATGTTCCCCAGGGCCACATTTCTCCCGTACATATCTGTTGATGTTTTTTGTTTTGTTTTTTGTCTTTTCAGGTATCCTAGTACCTAGTGGAATGGAGGACAAGGGATTGGGTGGGGCCATAACAATCAGAATCGCATGCAGTGGCTGTGGAAATAGTATTCACTACGCTAGTAGCATGGTTTGCTTAACCGAAAGGAGGAGGAACTCTGTGTCTCTTGCCTTGGGCCTGTGCTTTCTTATTTGGGGGCATGGATACCCTATTTACCATAAAGTGTTGAGGTTGGGTTTGGGACTACAAACCCTTGCTTATAAAAATTTCTTTCGTATTATAAGAATTGCTCATCCATTTGTTAAGACTGTCCTGGATGAAATATGTGAAATGGGCAAAAATGAGATGAAAATGAAAAACCCTTCAGAGCTTGGAAGCTGGAAGAAGGCAGTTACCACCTCTGATGGCTGTTGGCTGATAAGGGGACCCCATAGTCAGTGCTGAACATTTGTAGTTATCAATGTTTTAACAGGGTGTACGCTTTACTATGGGCATTCATGTATGAGAGGGTCAAACAATATTTGTGACTCTGAGTTATGGCCGGGAGGGAACTTCAAAAGCTGCCGAGGGGCACTTGCGAGAGGTTTGTTTCAACAAAGCTAAAGAGGAGGAAATGGTTATTGCAGTTAGTTGGCAAGATGCTGACTCCTCATCAGCAAAATCATTTCAGTATGTGTTCCCTGATGGGTCCCTTAGCCGTGTTATGCTATCTGGGGGCCATGTGGGACGTTCACATGCCAACAATCTCAAAGAATATAAATCCAAGAAATCAGTGGATCAATCATTTATTTTGACACATAAAAAGAATTTTCCTCATTTCGCATCAGCTAAGTGTGAGTGTGCTGGTAAAAGGACACATGCCAAGAAATGCGGTTGTATGTCAGTTTTTAGCACGGGCAAAGAGGAACCATTTCTCAGCCCTAAAGCAAAGCGGGAACGATCCAATGGAATTAGTCCGTGGGCCAGAAAGTGAAACCCTCCCCCCCCTCGGGGATTTTTGCAGACATGTATCATTTCAAAGCTTCACCTGAGGGTATTTGAAAAATGCATGTTTGCACTTGATTGGTTGG